TAGGCATAGGGTTTGGGATTGTAAGAATTGTAGGAGAAAGGGATGTTGACGCTCTTAGCGGAAACTTCTTCAGCAATTTCGGAAAGGTCAGCGGCAACAGAGCCTCGAGGAAGGCCAGCAAGAAGTGCAACGTAGGTGTGTCTGATAGCGCGTTGATCAGATGAATGAGAAGCAGAGCAGACGCGTAAACAATGTCCAGTACAAAGAACAGCTCACGTGTTTTCAAATTGTTCCATGGCAGTAGCAGAGTCAAAAACTATATACGCAGTGCGATAAAGTTTTGAGAGACGCGTATGGCAGTGGGTAACAATACCATAACGGGAGAATGTGCCCCTTAATTGTGCATCAGTGACAAAGAGAGGGATGTCGGTAACTACCAGAGTACGGAGCTGCTCATCTGCCTTTTTAGCAAATGGGTCATGTTCGTGAAACTGTAGATCATGCAGGGAGGAGATAGGCGTAGCGATAGCTTTTTCCATATCGGGTTTGGAACGAAAGTAGACAACGATAATTTTATTATCGCCTGAACCTTGAGTGGTAGCTTTACTACCATAAGAGGAAAAGGAAGAGAATTCTCTGTCAGTCGCGTCACAAGCTTTGCGATTGGTTTTGAAGTGGGTCCAAAATCCTTCAATAGTAGAGGGTGCAGCCGCAGCATAAAAGCGAAAGGGGGAAGATTGTATAGCAGCGGTAGACGCGTCAGAAGACGCAGCGCGTTCAGGTTTAGGAGGTAAAATTTCTACAGATTTTCTTTTATCTGCAGAGTTAGAAGGGGAATGTTGGAAGTCATCAAGGGAGGTACCAGAGTCAGGAGCTAAAGGGAACGCGTTGGTATCAGCGGGAGGGGGGAAGAAGTTGAAGCATTATCCTGAAGAGCAGGAGGAGTCAAAATATTGTCTTGGTCTATAACGGGTTCAGAAGAAACCCGTGTGCGTTTTGCAGAGTTATCGGTCGAAGGTTGCGAAGTAGGACTAGGAGCAGAAGCAGAAGAACCTTGACCTTGAACGTTGCCAGAAGGAGGACTCTGGGTTGGACGTTTTGGAGCAGAAGTACCAGAAGCTTTATTATTTCGTTTGTTAGTCATAGCCAAAAGTAGAAGGGAGAACTAAAATATGTAATAGTTAGTAGTAACGCGAAGTAAATAATAAAAATACTTCAAAAAAATCTTTTTTATTTTTTGTCGCAATATTGTCATGAAGGCAACAGGAGAGAGTTAGTTTTATCCTTTTTAGTTTTATCCTTTTCCTTTGCAAGTGTTTACGGCCAGACCACCCATTGCCTCTTATGATACTAATCTTGGGTCTGTGTCCTATCATCTTCAATGGTCAACCATTATACCGAGTACTTAATTCCTCAGGTAACAGCACCACTATAGAAGACATCTCCCATCGGGCCATTTTAGGCTGATCTGAAGCTAGGTACACGCCGCCTACTCATCCTATACCCATTGCATGATACTGATACTCAATTTATTTAACGACCTTTAGAGAGCATCTACTTTCATGGAGGACTTTCGACAGGTAACATCAACCATCTAGTACCCTTCCATACCACCATTTTAGGTACTAAGTCTCACTCAAAGGCCACTACAGCCCGCGATTACCTAGTACCGATAGTACAGTTGTTTACCCCAAGTGGTATACTTTATAGTGACCACTCAGACAGGAAGTAGCAGGCATCTGTCCAGGATCACCCCTTATGGTGGGTATCAACCACCAGGGATCACCAACCAGGACCCAAGGAGTAGGGAATCGAACCCCATAGCCATGCTACCTGTTCTTTGCACTAACATCTTGGTTGGTCTAAGACCTAACATAAGGTCTAACTACTACTAAGATATTGCACCCTCAGCTTTACCATCTAGGACGACCATCTAGCCATTACTGACCCCAAGCGGTATCATAGAGTGACCACCTGGACAGGAAGTCCCCCCCAAGGTATAGTAGTTACCTCAAGGACAAGACTGCGCACATGCCAATGGCCTCATAGGGAACGTTAGAAGGACACCATGACCCTTAGTTGAAATGTGCGGCCTAACCGTACACACTAATTCACCATGATGCAGTCCAACTACACTAATCCCTGTACCTTCACGCTATTGGTTGTAGCGTCCGCAGTAATGTTTTATCCTTTTCCGATCACTGGCTGACGAGTTATTCAACAAAATGTTAAACATCGGCATTATAATATTTCTTGATTTACGTTTACTGTGCCATTTAACATTTTGCTAGATTTCTCAGTACCTAGTAATTGTAAAAAGACGATTTATAGCTCGTTGGAATCGCATCATCGAGGCGAATCGAATGGTGATAAGCTCATCTCTCTGTGATCAATATTGACGGAGTTATTACTTAAAAACCATTTAATATTTTTTAATTTCGGAAATTGATTTAGTGATTGGATTTCGATGTATTTTATACCATTAAATTCGTCTCATCAAGACGAATCGAATAGTAGTAAGATCGTCTTTCTAGGATCAATATTGGCAGAGTTATTACACAAAAACCATTAATATTTTTTTAATTTCAGAAATTAATCTAGTAATTGGATTTTGACATATTTTATACCATTAGAACTGTCTCATCAAGACGAATCGAATGGCGGTAAGATCATCTCTCTACGATTAATATTGGTGAAGTTATGATACAATAAAGTTTTAAGTATAATTCTGGCTAAAATTATGTTAATTTTTGGCCAGAATTATTATATACAAATATAAGAAATTTTTTATATAGTCACATCTCTTTATAATCACCAAATATGGACTGTCCCAAATGTGTGACTATAAAGAGAGTTGACTGTAGTCTTTTTAAAAAAATTATCATATGCGCATATCTTAACACTAACCCTAATTTTTTTGGGTTAACCCCAGATTTTTGTATAGTTGAGGACACAACAAATTATCAAGTTGTTTCAAATTGAGATTTTAAAAAATCACGTGATATACATAATACTAATTTGCGATTGGTTAAAAATTAAACCATATCGGGAAATGTTTTACTTTATTAATCATCAATATTTTTAAAAATAAAATCTGGAACAAATTTTTCACTGCTTTTTTTTTTTTTGGCTATTTTTTGACAGTGTTGTGCTTGTCTCTTTAGTCGTGCCATGGGAAAAAATTTTAAGATCTGCATTACCTCTCAGCCAGTCATAGTTCTGGCCTAAATTATAGAATTTTGTCAAATTCTAGCCGGAATTAGATGTTTCAAATCCTACCGTTTATTAAGAAAATACCAAACTTTGCAGGCTAATAACTTTTGATCTAGATCACCAATCAGGATAATCTCAACGTCATTTTGTAGTTTAAGTTAGTAACAATTAAACTATGTTGAGTTATTTTAAATATATGCATCCAAAATATTTTTATTAAATTTCTAATTTGGACAATTTTATTTGATGAATTGTTGTGTCCCAAACCGTAGTACAACCACATGTATGATCATTTAAATTGACAGCGTTTTAATTGGCTAATCAAAATAAATTTTTTTTTTTATGATTTTAATATATTCGCATAAAATTTTTTTAATAAATTTATGCACTTTATTTAGCCTTTAAAATGTCTACTTATCCTGTCTCTAACGTTATTACACTTAATCAAAATAATACTCGATATACTTACACAATTATTAAAGAAGGATATTATCCTCAAAATGGTATACTTCAGTATATTTCTGCTCGTTCTTGTAATAACACACAGTTTAAGATCCCAGATAATTATTTAATACGAACAAGCTGGGGTAGAGGTGCTTCTAAACATGTAATACAATGTGAAATTAATTATATAGAAGAAGTATCAGTCTTTAAAATTTTATTTGGAGAAAATTTTCAATTATGTGTAAAATCTACTCAATCAGCAATAAGTGCTGCAAATGCATATTTGCAAGTAAGTTGTGATAAATAAAGTTTGGCATTTCTTGTATATATTAAATTAATATCAAATTTTAAATAGATGAAGAAACTTAATACTCAAGCTCGTTTTTGGAATTCATGTATTTTTTCTTAATAGTCAAGAATTGGAAAGAGAGCGTGAAAGAAAACATAGATCTTATCTTCTTAAACCTTTTAATAAGCTAAGTAATTCTATGAAAACTAAAAGAGTTTATATGTTTAATAAACACTTGGCTGTCAATTTTACAAATACGGCAACTAAATATTTTCATTCTGATGATCATTTAACACTTCAAGAAATTTGCTTTGCTGTTCAAAATAAAAATTTTCAAGCTAATTTTGGAGTTCAAAATAAAGAAAAAGAGAATCAACGAAATGAAGCATTCATTAAAGTAATAGATCAGGGACCTATTGCACGAGATTCATATCGAAATCTTGCAGCATTGGAGCCAGAGTTACTACGTGAAACAACTATATATAAAACAAAAAAAAGAATAAATGAGGAAATGAATAATGCAATACCCATATCAATTTTGAATGTAACAGACCAACCGTCTTTTACTCCTATTGATGAAAATCCAGATATTAATGATCCAGAGGTTGTAGAAGAAGTTTTAAAATATATAGGTAAAGCTGGATATTGCAAAATTACAGATATTTTGCTTTTTGTACATCCAGATCTTATAGAACGATATGTTATTAATCAAGATAATCCAGTTATTAATCTGCGTATTTCTGGAGATGGTAGGAACGTAGGTAGAAAGGTCAAACACATAATCATCACATGTACAATTTTAGATGATATTGTGAATATATACAAAGCTGAACATCATTACACAATTATTCTATTTTCAGGGAATGAGAATTATATACTATTACAAAAAATGATAACACCGATTGCTCATGAATTAAATGATTTAGTTTTGAATGGATTGAAAGATTTAAATGGTACAGTATGGAAAATCAATCCATATTTTAGTAGTGACTGGAAATTTATGGCGATTGTACTTGGCTTTAATGCTCCTAACTCAAAGTATTTTTGTCCATGATGTCTTTGTACAAAAGAAAATATTGGGAACAGGCAAAAAGTATGTATTATTGAAAAAAATATGCATCAACTCAAGCCAGCTTTTTTTAATAATAATTCAACAGTAAAACTACCACCAGGTCATACTAAACCTCCTTTGCTTCAAATAATTTCCCTGGATCACTATGTTCCAGACGAATTACATATAATGTTGAGAATATGGGGTCGGTTATGGGATTTAGCAATTCAAGAACTCAAAATAAAAAATCAATTTAATGAATTAACAAGAACAAAAATAATTGCAGAAATGAATAGAATTAAAATCTCATTTGGTTTCTGGCAGGAACAGGGAACACAAAACTGGTCCTATACTTCGCTAATAGGAGGTAACAAAGAAATTGTATTAAAAAATTTCAATTTTGAAGTTGTTTTTAATGAGGAGCGTGCATTTTTGATTAATCGTTTATGGCGAGATTTTTATCAACTCTATATTAATATGAAATCTAATGAGACCAATCCGTCTCAATTTGCAAATCAAACAAAGGAATGGTTGAATTTATTTCTTACTCCTTCCCAAGGAGAGCCTAATACTATTAACTTTAAGATAGGTTTATATCGTCCAAAAGATGTAACGTCGTATATGCATGTTTTAGTCAATCATTTACCCGAATTTATGGAACGGCATCAGAGATTTGGATTAGATGTTTTTTCTTGTAGTCCAGTGAAGAAGAAAAATCATGATCAAGTTTCTGCATTTTTTCGAAAAACAATGAAAGATGGTGGAAAAGATATGGAAAGAAAGTCAGCCATTTTCGAAATTTTACATTATGAAAATAGATCATTGTATTTTACTCAAAAGGGTACCATAGATAAATACCCCAAACCACAACATATTCATGTTAAAAAAAAATTAAAAAATTAAAAATCTGTGTATATACAAACTGTTTTATTCATGTAAATTGTAAATATGATACATAATAAATTTTACAAATTTTTGTTAATATTTTCTATAAGTATATATATTTATATTTGTTGTGCACAAAATCTTAAACTAATATATCCTGCTGATGTTCTATTTTTTTTTGCATCTTCCCTACTTTTCTTATATTTCCACTCAACTGTTAATTTAGGTAAATTAAATCTTTTTAACCTATTTTTTGGAATCCGATTACCAACTTGATCAAAGAGACTTTCTTGATTAGCATCTGATTTAGCTAGTGCATCAAATAATACAACAAAAGTTTGTTGATTATTATCAAAAAATTTACGCCCCAATTTGGATTATCAAATAAATTAGCTATTTGTGTATATGCGTCTGGACCTTGGAAATAACACTTATAACTACCAGTCCGAACGCTATAATAATGAATATAACCTTCAAATACTCCAAAAAATAAGCTTTCCAGACAAGGTAAAGAAATAGTTTGTTTACCCGACTGAGAAAAATGTCTTTTTAGTTTACCTTGAATAATATGAACAAGCTGTGCCTTGAACTCTTTTATTGCCTCCAGAGGTAATTCGTACAATACTTCGCGCCTTGTATTGTATTTTTGTACAATAGTGTTATGACGCATTAATCCAAACTGACTTTTAAATGAAGTCTTACAAATTTTACATTCATGTTGTAAAGTGGAAGCAGTGGTTGGTGAAGGAGGTGGAGTGAGAGTAGAATTTGTTGGGTAAAAACTTTGAGAAAAGAAATTAACAAAAGTGTACATGTTTTTGCGAAAATAATAAAAATTTATATAAAAAAAACAGTAATAAAACTTTTAATAATTTCAATATTCTTACTTGTCAAAAACACTTGGCCAAAGGTTGAAACGATTGGTTAGACGTTAGAACAAAAAAAAAAAAAATTTTTTTTTCTCGTATGTTCAGGGTAGCTATGCATCAGCTGCGCAAATCACGGGTGTAGAAATCATCTGATCAGTGACCTTAAAAAAGGCCCAATTATTACAATACGCTCATATGTTTTTTTAATTTAAATTTTTTTTTTTTTGTAAGTATCAGTTCTTTCAACTTTAGACTTCAGCTATTAGATTTTTTAATATTATTATAAATTAATATTTTGAAATAGTATTTTTTTTGGAATTAAATATTAATTTAGAAATATAAATAAATAATTTATATATATATATATGTTGTACGTTAGGTATCAATTTGTGTCTGATGACAGCTGACATATATCAGATGCCAATTTTGAATAGTTTCTTATAGTAAGTAAACATTTTTATTTATTATTTAAATTGTTTTTTGTTTTTTTAAGTAAATCTATACATCATAATTATTTGTGTATATTCTGAAAATTTTAAGTAAATATCATTAATGCTGAATTATATATTGCAGATAATGTTATTCAAAATTTTAGCTATAATTAAACATAAAATTTTTCAGTTTTAATATGCTTTTATTGCCTAAGTAAATTAGTTCATCATATTTTTAATATATAATACTAAAATTTTAATACGTTCAGACACTGGTAAAAAAATGATTTATCCTACACATATCTTACACATATTGGGTACTCAAAATGTAGAAAATCATACACAAATAATACACATATCATACACATATCAGGTACTAATATATATATCATACATATATCAGGTACCTAATAGGTATACTATATATATAAGTACCCGATATGTATATGATATGTGTATTATTTGTGTATGATTTTCTACATTTTGAGTACCCGATATATGTAAGATATGTGTAGGATATGTGTAGGATAGACCATTTTTTTACCAGTGAGATTTATATTAGTGGAAATTTCCTTTTTTAAAATATGTGGTTGTTATCTGATGTAAATCAACATCTGACACACAATATATATATATATATAATAAATAAATAAAAAATATTATATTAAAATTGCAATTAAATTACCTAAAAATTGGTACTAAAATTACTATAAAAATTATTAAATTTTTTCATGCTAATTTTTCTGAAATTTTGTTGATTTTTAATAATTGAATTGTTAATAAGTATGTAATATGTATTACTATATAAATCATCTATAAAATCAGTTGCCAATTTTTTTGGTACTGATCAGCTAAAGTCAAATTAAATTTTATCTAACATTTAACAATATAAAATTTTACTGAAATAGAATATTCTAACTAGTATAAATATTCTTTAATTATTGAATTTTGGCAGAAATGATATTATCTATCAGTTTTACAGAGGTTTAAATAAAAAAAAATACTCTTAAAGCTTAAAAATTTAAAGATGATTAAGATGTAAAATAATTTATAAATGATTAATTGAATTTTAAAAGGTTGGAATATATAAAAGCTGAAATAAGTGTTTTATTGAAAAGAAAAACTGTCTATTACTTGGATTTTCACTTTTAAAAGATGATAACTCTCTAAAAACCGGTTATATTAAAGCCTATATCTGATATGAAACAGTTACTTAAACAATAAGTTGAATTTTTTCAGATGCAAATTCAGAAATTGCAAAAGAATTTTCAGCAATATCCTATTTAAAATCATTAGCCCTATAAAAAAAAAATTTCTTTAAAATATACTTAAAATATACTTATATATTTTAAAATATACCTAAAATATACTTAATATTTTAAAATATACTTAAAATATACTTAAAATTGCAATTTTAAATATATTTAAAGTGTAAAATTTTGCAATTAAGTATATTTTAAGTATATTTAAAAATTTTAAGTATATTTTAAATATAGAAAAAATGTATTTGTAACAGCCTGTTACATATCTTATTTGTAATATCCTTTTTTTTATTTTTTTTTAATAATAAATTTAATATGTGTTTCACAAATAAAATTTTTATATGCAAAATTTAATTTGGAAAACTTTTACTTAATGTATTTAAGACAGTTTCATAGACAAAATTTTAAGTTATAAGCAGTTTCTTGAAATTTTTTAAAAAATTCTTTTGTCTTAGTTACACGACTGATCTTTTGTTTTTGTTTACATTACGCCTGATCTTAAATTTTAATTGGATAAAATTGGGGGTTGTTACAAATAAGATGCGTAACAGGCTGTTACAATCTTTACAGAAACTTAACATTTTTAATCAATGTAGAATCGATATCGTTAAGTTTATCTTAATGGTATCATTTCAATATCATTTCAATATCATTTCAATATCGATTTAATATCAATATGATATCGAAATAAAGTATTATCACTTTGATATCATTTCGATATTAAATCGATATGAAATGATATCGAAATGATAATTAAAATGATATCAAAATGACATCTTTAAATTAAACTTAAAGATGTTGTTTCGATATCATTTCTATTATCATTTCGATATCATTTCATATCGATTTAATATAGAAATGATATCAAAGTGATAATACTTTATTTCGATATCGTATTGATATTAAATCGATATTGAAATGATATTGAAATGATATCACTTGAAAACTTAAAGTTTCTGTAAAGATTAGATTTATCCTTAAATATATTTTAAAATATATAAGTACATTTTAAATATATTTTAAAGAAATTTTTTTTCATAAGGTAGTTAAATCTATTTATTCAAAACTGTATATATTTTTAAAAGAATGGAATATAATGATTATAAAGAACTATCTGATGATATTGATGATAATCCAGATACTGCTAATTAGAGTAACTTTCAAAATTATCTTAAGTTTATTAAAATATATAAAAGCAAATTTGATTAATGGTTAGAAAAATTATAAAAAAACTATTTATGGTTATTTTGCTAATATAATATATAGTTATATTACTTATATAATCAATGCAAATTTATTATGGCTAATTTATGATGATCATTTAACAATTAAATAATAAACTACTGGATTTTTACAAAGTAATTGTTTAAGTAAACTTTTCTTATTTGATAAGCAAAAAATTAAGACAATCTTTTTAGTTTTAATATTAATAAAGATTATTATGTTTTAAAAATAATATAAATTATCTTTTATATTTATTTATATAACAATTATTAACTGTAAACTTTAACTAGTAATTAAATTTAATTAAATTTATACTATTCAATTTATTTTAAACAAATTAAATGGTAATAAAATCATCTTTTTAAACATATTAACAGAAATTGTTATATTTAAAAAATAATTTTTTATATTTTTTTATATAACAATTATTAGCTATAAAATTTTAACTAATTAGATTTCAATAAAATTTATCTATTTAAAAGCCGATCCGCCTATAAAATTACTATATAAATTCGGGGTGAGGTTATTATAAAAATGCCAAAATTGGCTAAATTTTATGGTCTATAAAAACTGCAGATCATCATGCTGTGGCACCAAAATTCACATGATGATTCCTTAAATGTCAAAGATGAAAAAAATAAAAAAAATTGAGAAATTTATTTATTTGTTCAAAACTTTACTTTGAGGCAGCGTCAGATTTGACAGGTATGTATATATATATATGCGAAAATTTCAAGTCGTATATTACGTTATTTTAACATATATGAACACTTAAAATTATGTTCTCATGTATTTTACTTAGTGCTCCGAAACGAGTCGAGTTGACTCGTGAGTTGGTCGAGTTGAGTCGAGTTGAGTCGAGTTGAAAATTACAATCAAATCGAATCGATTCGAGTCAAGTTAATAATTTAATAAAATCAGGACCCCGGATATCTAATATAAAGGTCATAATGGACTTTTGGCCAAAAACACCCCTTTTTGCTGAAACTCAAAAAATCGTTTTTTGTAAATATTTCAGCATCCATTAATTCAATTTTAATGAACTTTTTTTTATTTTGTAGCCCTCATTTAGCTCTACAATTTAAAAAAAAGTTCATCAAAATTGGACCACTGGATGCCGAGATATTTACAAAAAACGATTTTTTGAGCCCCTGAAAAATGGGCCAATCTGCCGAAAGTGTGACTTATGACCTGTTTTGGAGATATCCGGGGTCCTATAAAATCGAGTCGAGTCGAGTTAAGCCGAATTAAACATAATTCCGGCCAAATTTATGGAATTTCCTTTTTTGGAAATTATGTTACACAAAATCCGAGACGAAAAATTTTGAAAATTACAAAAATGGAATTTGTGGAACGGCTATCGCCAAAAAAGGAAATGATCGGCATAGCTGAATAAAATTACGTGATTTAATTTGACTCGACTCGATTCGGTTTGACGGGCCAACTCGACTCGAATCGAGTCAAGTTTATATTTTTATAATTTTAACTCGACTCGACTCGACTCGATTTAACTCAAGTCGAATCGAGTTTACATATAACTCGACTCGACTTGGCTCGTTCGGAGCTCTAATTTTACTACTTGTTTTATATAATTCTAATATTTTCTCTTGCTTTTAGTTCACATGTTACTATACTTCTCCGCGAATTAATTACGGTTTCGGCATTACGTCTGTAAAAATCTGCCATAATAATTTCAGCATAGCCATTTTTTTTTTGACGTAATGCCGAATTTATTTTTACAGCCATATTTAATTTATACAGACGAAATTGCCAAAATGATTTACGCCAATAACATCATAGTATCACGTTAATATTTTGTACATTAAATTATGCATAATGCATATTTGTTTGATATTCTTTGTTTAAATGTTGGAGTTTTCTTTGTTCTGCAATAGAATAAAACAAGTAAAAATGAGCGAAAGTAAAAATCCAATATCTTTTATACTAAAAAAGCCAAATGCTAAGCCAGGTCGAAAACCAAAAGAAGTTTGGAATTTTTTTACAGCTATTGGAGAAAAAAAGGAAGGACATCGAGGTTGCAAGTGTAAATATTGTCCATGGAGTCAAACACGTGGTGAACCTAGTAGTATGGAAGCACATTTAGCGCTTAGTTGTCATAAAACACCCCAAGATGTTAAAGAAAAATTTTTAC